CTATTTCTCCTTCTATTCTTTCCTACCTCTTTTGTTCATTCCTTCTGTTTCACTTCTTTTTTATATTTTGTGGAGTTTTCTAGATGCTTCTCTGTATCTGTTCTCCATGTTAAACTTCTAGAAAATTCCCCCTGGTTGTAACACTGGAACTGATGTCACTTATCGATCTATAGACTGATCTTGACTGTCTTATGCCAGCCTATATAATCTTACTCCTTTTTTTGTCATAGCTATTGGTACAATGGTTAGAAGTAACTCTACAAGTTTCAGTGTTTTTTTTCCTCTTCCTCTGAATAGTAAGATTATACAAATATAATTTCTGATACTCATGAAGCTATCTTGCTTATGAAGGGAAAGTTAACCCCAAGATAAAAGTACTACGCAGGAAGGAAAAACTAAGAAATTCTTAGACACAGACATAAAAGTGACTAATACCTACAAATTCTATAATTTTCAATTTATATGGCCAATAAACTGCCTTAAGACATAAAACTACTTAATATGCATTTTAGTTATTTATTATGGGAAAGACTGTATATCATAAACTCTATCTTCCTCTCAGAGAGAATCCATGGAGTGTCTATCTTAAAATTGTATATTATGTGTGTCAGGGAATACAAAGAAGTAAAATATCTCGTAGAGTTTCATTACTCTTCTCATTTTTGGTTTACTAAATTGATTTACCCCAGTTCTTTATCTATCTTACAATGGACAGTCCAACTCTTGTCCTGGAAGCTAGGACGAATAATCAAACTACCTTGACCTTCCATGTGAAGCCTCAGGTAGCGGGAAAAGGAATTACATCACCTTTGGAGTAAGAGAGCTCTAGGACCCAGACACAGTCCATTCTTTAGGGCCAGTTCTGCTTGGCTGGTGATCCCCAGGGGAACAATGGTGTGCTACCTTGTTAGAACAGAAGGGCTGGAATTGATTGTGCTGCTCTCACCAACACTGTCCTTCTGTATTCGGTGAGGCCTCACTGTTACGGTGCGAAGTGGGGCAAACAATAAAACATGACACTTGTCTGAGGGAAGACCGGAAGCCAACTTCATCTAAGGCTGACAACGGCTGCAGATCTAGGCGAGCGAAGCCTACCTTGCTCTGCCCGAGCAGTGTGAGCACTGTGCAGCCGGGCCGGGAGAGCGCGATCAAGGCCGTGTAGCCAGGCGTCCTGTATCGATCCCCCATTATTCTTTCAGGGTATTTGATAAACTCTGATACACACTATACACTGGAGACACGAAGATAAATAAGACCATGACTCTAAGATGTTCACACTTTACTATAGGAAATGGATGCATAAAAAACGAGGTATAAATGCAGAATGACTAGCTTTAAAATAGAAGTAACAGGAAATAATCCATCTAGTGTCCGAAAGGGTTTGATGTCGCAGGTAGTGCTTGAACTGAGGGTGCGAAAATCATTCACCCATGGTTCTGAAGAAAAGGGGCCAAATCTGGGATTCCTACACCCAGGCCAAGATAAAAAGGAATCAATCCACCATGCTGTGAAGTGTCAAGATGAATCCATACAAAAGAATTCTCAGAAGACTGAAGTTGGAAATAAAGCAGAGAATTCTGAAGAAGAAAAAAAGAAAAACAAACATACTTCAAGGACTAAAATTATAGCGCAGAAGTATTTCTGGGAAATGAAGAAGCAAGAAACTGAGTCAAATCTGAAAGGAGGAGTTCACACTAGACATTTCCTCCTCCCCAGTGAGGCCGCGCAGGAACGCTGACGCGCAGCTGAGGCGGCAGAGCGCGCGGTTGGGACTGCACAGGCGGAGAGCAAGGCCTAGAGCTGCCCGGATGGCAGCTAACGTGTGCTTCTGGTGCCTGTCCTTTCCGGATCTGTGGTGATCTGAGGTTTCCAAATAAGCTGTTTATGAACAACATCCTTTCCACAGACACTTCGTAGGAATTTTCTAAAGCACAGGAGTACTTTAATTATCACTCCGCAGATTGACTAAGCACTTGCATTGTGGGTGTCACTATACTCGCTATTGTTCTCTTAACTTTTTCCAAGTTATTTACTTACACACTTTCTATCTCAGAAAGAAATATGGCTGCTAACGAAGATATGTAAATATAAAATGGCATGAATTAAAATATTTTCCTGACACCATTAATTCTTTTAAATCCCCTTTTGTATACTGACTAGAAGTGTGGCACATGCCTATAATCCCAGATACTTGGGAGGCTGAGGCAGGAGAATAACAAGTTCAAGGTCAGCTTGGGCAACTTAGTGAGACCTTGTCTTAAAATAAAAAGTGAAAAAGGACTGAGGATGTTACTCATTGATAAAGTACTTGCTTAGCATATGCAATGGTTTGAGTAAAAAAAAAATATATATATATATATATATATATATATATATATATGTATATACAAGAGACTTAGGATAGGTATACAGCTACTTTCTCATAGTTCACTAAGAATAAAAGTTTGTACTAATATTGTTTAGACAAGATATCATGTCTGCATCCTGTCCTCTGAATAACTACTAAGAAAACAACAATATGCAGTGTATTAATTATTGTAACTGTCTTACTAATCTGTTTTGAAATTGTTTCATTGCTATGTAATCTTTTTTTCTCTCATTAAAAATAGAGATCAAAATTAAAGTTCCTCTGGATGAGTTACAGATATCAAATTATGAAGGCTCAATGTGGCGGGAAGATGGGTGCTAGGGCTCTAGCACGCTCCTTTTCTGTTCTTCTCTCTTCTTGTGTAGACTCAGGGAATAGGTGGCAGAGGCAAAGGTTACCCTTTATAATTCGTCATTTTAAAGGTCCATGGCAGGAGATGGTTCAAGCTTCTGTTCTCTGGTCTCATCTAGTTCTAAGTGCCCCTGGGGGTCTCTGTAGACACCATGTCCTGGTTAGATGATTGTAGTTTCCCTGGGGCAAAGGTCCGTTCCAGTCGCTCCACTCCAGTGCCTGAGTTATGCAGAACTTTCTCCTGCCCACAGGTTCAACACTCTTCTGAGCTCTTACCCCCACTTGGCGCCACAAGAGCCAGAAGTTCTCTTCTGTCCTTGCAGCAGTCCTCAGTCGGACAATTGTTCAAATTGTACCCTTGGTTTTCAGTCTCTAGTGGTGACTAAATGATGGTACAGGCTGTTCAGCATCTTTGAAAGAACTCGGTACTCACAGTCTCTGAAGGAGGGGTGTGTGAACCCAGACAAGGTCACACGGGCAAGTGCTAGATTTTGGTCAGAGGCAGAAGCACAGATCAAAAAAACAAAACAAAACAAAACAAAACTGGAGTCACTAAGTAGTTTCAATGGAAGAGTCAAGGATGTGGTAGGCCACTTGTTATGGCGCAGTTAGAATAAAGTCAGTGCTCTCTGGGACAGAGATGGTCACTAGTTCCTCTGGTTGATCTAGGACTGGGGAAACACTGGCTTGTATCTGAGAATGAGATCTAAGTGGTTGGAGGCTAGGAGCTCAGCAGGGGTTAGCTTGCATGTGAGAGGCATGCACCCAGGCACACTCTTTACCACTGCAGAGAATGTGCTGCCCTTGGCAGGGGCAATCTCTCCTGAGACAGTACATGCCTGTAGTATCAACACTCTGGGAGGCTCAGGCAGGAGGACTGCAAGTTTGAGCTCAGCCCAGGTAACCTAGTACCTGAATGGGACCTGGTCTCAAATGAAAAAATAAAATGAACTGTTCATGTATCTCAGTGTGAAAGCCCTGGGTTCAATCCTGAGCACCTACAAAAGTAAAACGTGGTGAGTACATAATGTCGCTGCCCTCCCAGCCAGCAAGGTATATGTCCAAAACTGAACATGAGGGCAGGTCCTACAGAAGTCATCCTTCCTCGGGTAGGAAGCAACAACTGCGGAGAGCGAGCATGTAGCTTACAGGCTGCAAGTCTGAGGTAGTTCACAGAATGCCTAGGAGCAGAGAGGCTACTCCCCCTTTCTGAAGGAGCCCCATCTTCCTGAGTAATTGAAGGATGTGTTCCTACCCTTTATCTCTTAGGAAGAACAAAGAGAATGCTTTGCCTAGTGTTACAGACCTACCTCCAAGCTTGCATTTTGCAACTCTAACCCCTCCTATGAGTACATTTGGAGCTAGGGCCTATGAGGAGGTGATGAAAATTAAGTGATGTCACAAAAGGGGCCCAGATATGGTAGGACTAAAGTCCTTTTAAGAAGGGATCCCCACATATGCACTGATGAGGGGCCATGTGAGCACGCGTTGAGAAGGCAGCTACACATAAGCTGAGGAGAGAGGCCCCGCTAGGAAACCTGCCGTGCCCACACATGGACTGTGGACTTCTCCATTTCTGGAAGTAACAGACACACATGTGTTGTTGAAGTTACCAGCGGATGGCACTTTATTGCAGCAGCTCTAGCAGACTACCCGAGAACACCTAATTCCCACAGACTGACAATGACTGTCATCATTTCCTTGCCTCTGTTCTCTCATAGTGGCAGTGGCAGTGGGACAACGTCCTCATAAATTCAGGAAATGTGGGTGAACTGTAGGCTCTCACTACAGCTCCAGATCAGCTTCCACTCGACACCCTGTGTGCTTCCTGTCTGTCCACAGAAAGAGGGGCCACAGCGAGGCTCGCTTGGGGGTGCTGCTCCTGTGCATGAACACTCCCTATGTTAGGCATCCTCAGGGCAGGTGTGCTGAAGAGCCTGGCACGGTGCTTGCTGTGGGGAGGAATGAGATGTGCCCTGCCGCTTCATTTGCTCAGGAAGCCGTGTTTCGGGTCACTGACCTCGCCTACAGCTGCATTTCTCCTGCTGATATCTCCTTGGAGAATTCAGCCTTCAGACCCAGCAATGCTGAAAACTCAATAACTTTTTTAAAAAGGAAAGGTCATTGGTCACATGGAATTTGCTCACAAGCAAATTCTAACTTGCCCAATAAACCATAATGTGTACAGCACAAAATGCTGTTTGAAGCAACAGCAGTTTTGTGTTTTCATGTTTTAATCGTGCTGTTTGGTTCCCATTTCTTCTTTAGGCAAGCACTGCTTGGGAGCTGCAGTGCTGCAGGGTGGTGAAGAGGGGCCTCCACAGACCACGGATTCTCCAATCAAGAACAGGTGTGGTTACACCCCCTCCACAAACAAAGATATTTTGTTTGAATGGGCACAACATGGAAGAATGGGATGTATTAATAGCTAAATAGTGTCTTTATTAACAGTAGAGCAGCTGGCAGTTCTATATGACAGCCTCATTCCAATCCATTTTATCCAATTGCAGAACTATGAGCGGGCTCCACCAGGGAACTAAGGGGACCACACGCAAGCAATCAGCTATCCAACAGCACTCTAATTGCTTCGCAGTTGGAAGTGCCTCCTCCTTAGCCACTGTTATTCTTTTAGGGGGAATTGTTGGTGCACCAGCCTGTCTACAATTGAGTGCTGCTGATGCCTGAAGACACTGTCTTTGTTTTACAAGGCCTTGTGCACAGTCCCACTGTGGGGTGCCCTCTGGTCTTGGCTGATCATAAATCCCTGCTGCTGGGTGCCAGGGGGAGGTGAACGCAGGGAGTCTCAGCATCTCTGTCATCTCCTAGCCAAGTGGTTACCCTAAAGAGGGAACATAAACTCCCAACTCATAAAGATCCTGTTAGACCCTGCTTGAGTACCTTTCTTCAAGGCGTCCTACTGAGCCAAAGAATAGACTCAGGAGTCGGTGCAGATGTCTAAGTGTCTGTGACTGTACTACTGGGCTCTGAGTTGTGGGGAGATGCTCTTGGAAGGGACCCATGTCGGACATAATCGGGTCACACAGGTAAGAAGAGGAAGGATGGGAGGCAGTTGGAGGGTGGGCAGAAGCTCAGCCAAAGGAGCAAATTAAAAAGAAAACCTGGAATATTGAGCAGATGGAGAAACAAAAAGTATTCCCTTACTGTATTTATCAAAGAATCTGGCCAGCCATTATTAAAATCATTTGCAATGTCAAATCAAGGAGGCTGGATTACTCTCGTACTCTTTCAAACAACTGTTTAATTTGCTTTGTTGTGTTTGTTTTATTTGCAGTTTCTCCAGTCTAAGAAAATACTATTTGCAGAGCATTGTATCTCTGCCTTTTTATAGAGTAATTCCTATTTGGTGAGTTTTCAAAGTATCCTTTGGGGAGAATATTAAAAAGCTCTTGGCTGTATTTAGCCCAGACAAATATGAAATTATAAAATCTTCCTGATATGCAGGACTTTCTTTGTTCTCTCTGATCATGTAGGGATTAAATGACTCCAAGGACTAAGAGTTATTGTTTAGGATTTGCCAGTCAGGCTACTGATTCATCTGTGGCTCACCTATTGTTGAGAATCATTTTGTCCTTGTTAGCATGTAGCTCCAGGTAATAAAATTATAGGTTACTCTCATTTATGCCACCTTTTTGTTAAATTGCCCCCAAATGGGTTTCAGACAATATTTTTTTTCCACCTCTACTGATGTCACTTTCTGAATAAAGAAGCACATCTTTGACCATGACAATAGATTCCGATGAAATGGAAATCATTGTTGAAAATAAAATAGACCCTAGAGAGCTCAGGACAGTGAAAATCACCCGTTCACAAAGAAAGTCACTAAAGCTTTCATAAAAAGCAACAAAGACACAGGAGGCCAAGTTACAGGCTCCAAAAGGAGGCGGAAGGTCTCATCTTTTCTAGGAACTCTTTTGCGCTGCTTCCGTGATGGGTTAAGTATTCAGAGCAGCATATATTCCCCATAAGAATGCTTAAATTCTCAGCTCTCCTGCCAAGAAAGAGAAAATGCATATGCATCTGTTTGGAACCCTCCCAGATATGCATGTGCAAATCGGGCCAGCAGCTTTCTCTGCCAAGCATTCAGCGGAGCCCTTTACTGGCTCAAGCAGAGGACTTCATTTTTAGGTTGAAAGCACCTGCAGACAGTGCTGGGAAGGGAGGGGGAGGGGTTTTTCTGGCAACAGGATGTCAGAGTGAGCTTAGAGCCAGGGCATGCTCTGGGTGGAATAAACAAAAGGACAGATTCCTCTCAACTCAAAATAGACCTTTAGAGGCATGCCTAAACACATCTGCTTTTTGTTCTTTTTTTTTTTTTTTTTTTTTTTTTTTTTTTTTAACTAACAGTATCCTCACATAGGACTGAGTTACTCTCCTCTCACTTACTTCACATTGTTTTCCTGTTGTCTGGGTTTATAGTTAAGAAAAACATAGCATCTCTGGCCCTTGATCAGTTAAACTGGTGTCTTCTGGTTCAGGGAGGATGTGTAACAGTGGAAGGAGGATCCAGTATTCTCCTCTGCTCATATGAGTATGCTTAAAGAGTATCTGACTTCAGCACCTCTCTTGGAGCTCATGTTCTGTGAGATCTTGGGTGAACTATTTCTGGTACTTAGTTGTTGTCTTTTACTGATGTGTGTTTGTTTGTTTTAATAAAACTATGAAGTTTCCATTGATGAAAGCTATGTCTTTGTTTTCCCTAGGAGCTAGTGCAATGTCCTAAATATGAAAACACAGCGGTTCTTATATCAGCTACATATCTCATTTGGGTAATAGAAACATTCATTTGATGTTTATCATAGGTGAGTAGAAGGGTGCATTTTTAGTGTCTGTTTGATGCCTTTAATGTCTCGAATAAAACAGTAGTATTGTGAGACAGGGCATTTGTTTTTATGTTCATCTACACATAGAAGTACTGATGACTTACCACCTCTAGTGAACAGCGCTAGAAATCTCCCTGCTAAGGGGAGGCTTTCCCTTCATCAGAGCACTAATTAATTTTTAATAGAAGCAAGAGTTCAAAGGAAGGCATTGAATAAAATTGCTTTCCCAATGGGAGTAACAAAAGCTATGTGTCTCATCAGGATTTCCTAAAAGAGAAATGTATTTGTCATCTTTTTGATGTCTGTTCTTCCTTTCATGTCAGTCCACCTAGATGCCCATCCAAGTCTTAGATCTCTTCTTTGTGGAGATTTGCTGTTCGCATCCAGCCTTGCATTACAGTAATTCTGTATAACTGTGTGTCACAGTTTCTTCATCTATAGAAATGAGACCCTGGTCCCAGTTTCTTCCTCCATGTTAGGGATGCTACCTCCTGGCCAGGAGTGGTGGCACACACTTGGGATCTGAGCCCTCTAGAGGTCAAAGCAGGTGGGTTGCAAATTGGAGCCTGGGTTCGATCCTTAATACTTGGGAAAATTATATCTTCTAAATTTTAGGCTGTTTCCAGTTTTCTGTGATGACCACATGATGTTCTTGCTGATTCTGGGAAGCCATGTCCTGTTTTTGCTTTCCATAGGGATCAAAATAACAGTTGGCATAGAGTGCCAGCCTTCCCTGTTTGCTCAGCTTCCCACAGAACTGCTGCCTAGGACTGGTCAGGATGGGCTCCTTCCACCTGCCACCCCCCAACCCCTTTGTTGCTTACCAGGAGGTCCTACTGCTACTATGAAGAAGAAGGGCCCATTCCTCATGACACAGAATCTAGGAGAGAAGCCTATTTTTCTTTAAATTCCCCTGGGATTCTTATAGATTCCCAGTGTTGATTTGACTTGAGCTTTCACATGTAGACTGCATTTCTGATTCTGTCACAGAAGAGCGGGATCCTTTGAAGTGACCAAGGCTGGTGTTAACATCGCCTGACATGCTTGTGTAGTGATCATTGCAGAGGCTGCCAAGGCAGTGTGACACTGTGTTACCAGGTCTGATCTTTCTTAAAACAACAGATGAATTTACTAGCTAAATGGTGATCCCTCATCAATGGAATACTGAATCCTCACTGAAATAACCATACAAAGCTACATTCATTGAGCTGAAATGTGCTCCTGACATAATAATGTGTTTAAAATTATTCTGTTTGCTTAAAACTACAGACATCTACCTCCACATATATTTGCACGAGTAGACAGACATCTATGAGCTTGTCCATAAATTAACTGCAGTCATCTCTGGGCAATAGAATTTGATAAGACAAAATTGTTTTGCTAATGATTATATATGTAATTTAAAATTTTCTGACAGTGAGAATGTTCATTTTCAGTCACAGCACAAAATAAAGCTAATTTTATTACAAAAACAAAGATGTTATCTATTGATTTTTATTGAGCAACTTTGTAATCCCCTCCTCTTTAGCAATGTCAGAAAACATTAACAAAATATGTGTGACTGCGGTATTTTTTGACCCCAAGAACAATAATTTTGGGTAACTACTTCACTGTATCCTTCCACAAGAAAATAAAGTAGCAGCATACAAGAAAGACATGCTGACAACCAAATAAAAATGAAGCCCATATCGAACAACCTGAGCAGACAATGTTTGCCTAATTTCTATTGATTGTTCCAATTTAAAATCTGGGCATATACCAATCACAACCAATTTACAGGTACAGAACCTGGATGTAAGATTCTGAGTTGTTTAGCTATAACTGACATGGGATGTAAGAAATCCAAAGGTAGACAAGACCTGTAAGGTCACTGAATTGAACTGTCTACCTGCTCTATGGCTTACCTCCCTTTATGCAGGTAACTCTTCTATCTGGAGAGGAGTGAACAAGTTTCTGATCATTTACAGTCTGCTGTTGCTCCCAGGAGAGAGCAGGTCTTTTAATATCCCTGAGTTACATTGAAAAAGCATGCATTCCATTTACCTATGTTCTTTTTTTTTTTTTTTTATAAGCAGACTATATTTATTGAGAGAAAGAAAGCTCCTGCCCCGAGAGAGGGACAGGAGGGGTGGCCTGAGCGGGTAGTCCCCCCCCCCATTTACCTATGTTCTTATGCTTGTCCTCTCCCATTGCCATAGAGTTGGGGATATTGGTGGGATGAGGTAGAAAGTAGAAGAGAAGGGACTCTTTTAAAATTTTTTTTAAAAATAATTTTATTGAGAAACAAATTGCAGGGGCTGGGCAGATGGCTCAGTGGAATAAGCACTTCCCTGGCAAGTGCAAGGGGCTGAGTTCAATCCCTGGTTCCGAAAAAAAAAAAAAAAAAAAAAAAAAAGAATTGGGAGAAGCAAATAGCAATGAGACAGTTTCAAAACCGATCAGTAGGACAGTTTCAATAATTAATACATTGCATATTGTTGTCTTCTTAGTGGTTATTCATAGTACAAGATGCAGACATGATATCCTGTCCACAAACACTATTAGTACAAATCTTTCTGTTCATTGAATTAAGAGAAAAGATGGATAACCCACTACTATTATGGAGAAGCAACTCTTCAAGGATATGCAGAGCATCCTTTCAGTGATAATTATGATAGGACTATTCAATGAATAACTGGGACAAATATATTCATTGGTGAGTAATAATACTTAAATAATGTGAGAACAAGAAAGAAGTGAAAAACTAGACAGGAAAGAAACAGTAGTGTTCATGAAACAAACATGGGGAATAGCATGGGGAGGTAAATGTTGCATGTAGAAGTTGGAATGATGAAGAGAGGACAGAGAAAGGTAACATTCCACACAGCAGGGCAACTCTCTTCATGACATTCAAAAGCTGACACAGTAAAACATCAGCAGAAGCACACACACTTTTTTGATTGAGAGAGTCCAGGAGCCATGAAACTGCAACAGTATATTCACATAAAATTTTCACAAACTAATTAGACAGCAAGATCTTGTTCATTATGTCTAGAGATGTAATAGCCTAAAAGAAATAGAGGTCTTATCCTGGGTCCTCTAAATGGTTCAAGGATATAATTCAAGACCTATGAGCTTAGATGGGGGAAACTATTTTACTGATCTCCAATTGAAATTCACTCTTCAATTATGCATGTAGACAAAACTTCACAGCAGTGTCAGTTGTGTCACCTGTGAAACTGTCACTTGTGGAATCGGTAGGTAATTTTGTGTTATATTAAGTGTTTTGCAGAAATGTTTATGTCCATCAGTTAATTCAAACTTTGACAGATATTTGATTTATTACTTATTCCACTATTTACTGGGTTAATAAGTATATATGCACATTACTATATCACAAATGTATTTGCTTAAACAGTTTGGTAAGGATAGCTTAACATAATTGATTACCTTGTGAATTTTATTTACATTATCCAGTGATACTGTCTAAAGTAGTAAGCGGCTAAGATCCTCTAAATTCAACTCAGAAAATAATGCACTAACTGTAAGAGAAAACACTTGCTCTGGAAGTGAGTGACCCCAACCCTGTCAAACCTAGACTCAGAGCGGTCCTATGGCTCTTCCTGAGTGCTTCACATAGAATCCCACAGGCAGCTGGAGCCTGGATCCTGCCAGCACCACTGACCACTGAACGGAGGAGGGAGGAATGCCCTTCTTGTCAAAGGAGGGTTCCTATCTTGATGTATTAATAAGTTCAATGGGACACAATTTAATAAACTTCTTCTTGAAAAATAGCCATGTAAATATACTTGATAATTTCATGAATATACAATGTTACAGTTATATTTACAAAGGACATAGGTGTGTGGATGTGACTCCTGCTCCGGGTTGGGGATGATTTCAATGTTCACAGGTTGACAAAACTCCCTTGTCAGTGCTCATGTGCAGAGTGTTCCCACAGTTCTAGTAGACATGACGATCTCATCCCTGGTTAAAGTTATAAAGGCTTAAGCATGAACATGCAAATACCCATTTTCTTTGAGCAATTGTATTTTGCCCACATTGTCTATACCATTTTGTGTGTGTAGCATTCTTGTGACAATTCTATCCAAATGGACAGACGGTGATGAAGTTAAAAAAAATCCAGGAAAGCTCCATAGCTCTGGTCTGTGTGTTTCCAACAAAGGACGCACCTACCCAACACTGCGTCTTTCAGATATCTCCACTGTGGAACATGCAGCAGATGGATCTGCCACGTTAGGCCCACAGCTGTGTGTTTCTGGCACGACAACAATGTTTGAATTCTGTACAGAAATTTTGTAAGATATGTTTCTTGTTGCTTTTCCATGAATTTTATTTGGTAATTTTTTTATACCATAAAGAGTCTGGAGGCCATATTGAGAAAATGTTGGCAAAGGAAAGCTATTTGTTAGCTAGCCAGATTTAACTAAAGAGAATCAATCACATGTAATTCTAGAAAAGAGGCAGCCCAAGGGCATGCGTCATGCATCCCAGGAAGCTTGGAACTTAAACTGTAGCCATTGTGTTTCATATTCTCTTTCCTACTCTCTTAAATTCAGATATTTTACCAACCTTTAGAGCCAGACAGGAAGAGGTCCTGAACACTTTCTCTCTGAGCATATCTGACACATATCACTAGAAACTCCAGGGGAATAAAGTAAAGAGCATTCTGAATTTTTGAGGTCATAAAAGTATAATGCTGCTGATTTCATATAAATGGTGCCTGATCATTTCTGAGGCCACTTTTATCCTCTTTATTCTAGGACAGGCCTTTGTAAAGTCAGGTAACAGTGTCTATTGCCACCACCTCCCCTCTGGTCCCCACCCTTGCAGGTGGCATCCTTGAGGCTATGTTCAAGTGTGACAAGATTCCAGGTGCTTTTCAGTGAACTTTTCCAGTATAACTCACCAAGTCAGAATAAATAGAGACATAGGCCAG